AGGCCAGCCAATAGCACAATAGTTAAGGTGGCTAGATTTCACATGACTGACTACGTAGTCTGAGTTCCAAGCAGTTTGACTTGAAAAACACACCATGTCTGTATGCATGCATGCCCAAAATTCCAAAAGGAGGGAGAGACAGAGGAGAAAAGGACTGCTCCATAGGGGGAGCTTTCACACTTTCTCTCTTCCCTCCCTCCTCCACCATGAGCACACAAGTTTGGGGAAGTTTTTTAAAAGAGTAAATGTGGCATATTATTTCATTTTTATCATGATCCATATTAAAGACAATGACCATTCCTCTCATTCTAAAAATAATGTAATATCTGATGCATACCTAGCCTTAAGGTTTTGTGGTACAAATCCAGTATTCATGACTCCAAATTTGCTAATCTTCCTGCTATATCAGATTGACTTTGGCTCCAAATGCCTCTTTTATCTCTTCTTTAGTATCCTTTCTTATTCTCCTTCTCTTCCTTCTTATTTATATCAACTTCCTAAGAAGAGACTTGCTAGTTCACTTTTCCATGTTTTCTTGCAGATCACAGCCCCAGAGTTCAGAGGAGACTAAGATCCTTTCTAGATTTAACATCATCAATCCCTGATTCCTTGAAACCATGGGGCTTATTTGAAGACATTTTAGGCTTTGACATGTCTCTGGATAATGGCAGTCAGAAGTGAACCTGAGAAGGAAGAGAGATAATTAACTAACTTATTTTTTAAGGCTTACTTATTTCTTTCATGAAAGTAAGGGGGAGAGAGAGAGAAAGACAAACACCGTCATCAAGATCTCATGTCACAATCCTCCTTCCCACCCATCCCAGTCAGCTAGGGTCATGGGTGTGTGAACCAGGTGGTCGACCAGTAAACTAAACTCACAATCAATCCCAACATGCTTGGGCAGTGTGTTACCGCTGTGCCACCATGCCATCCCTATCTGCATTCTTTCTGGTATCAAATCCTGCTCAAAATTCTTTGCTGTGCTCAGATACTCTAACCACTCCACCTCCAATCTTTTCTGGTTTGCACTAAGAACTTAGACCCTCTAATGATTCTCTATTTTTCTTAGCTTTTTATAGATGCAATATTATAAACTGCATCCAGTGAAGACTTGACAGAGCTTATGCGTCTTCAAACTATCCACCCCATACAAGCTAGCAAAGTACCTAGAATATAATATGTGATCAATCTGTATTGTTTAAAAAATGAATGATTATGGTGTAATACACACCTAGAGGATTAAATTAGATTGTGCACATGAAGTAATATTTTTAATTTCACACCAATTTTATCATTTTGATGTAAAGCAGTGGTTCTTAACTATGAGTGTTTTTGCACACGTATATACCCCAAGGACATTTGAAAATATCTGGAGACATTTTTGGTTTTCATAATGACAGGGAAGGTTGTGATTGGTATTTAATGAATAGATGATGTAGGTACTTTTTAACATATTAAAAGCAGTCCTGCTATACGTACACACAGCAAAAACATCCAATGCAAAATATCAGTAGTGGAAGTATTGAGAAACCTTGATATAAAGATAGCTCAGTGAACAGAAACTAGAACAACTTTCGCCATCATGACTCAATCCTAAAGTTGTATGCCCTCTGCTCTGTCCCGAAGCATATTGTATCTGGACCCAGAATTACTGGTTGATGTTTTCCAGGCAGCACAGGCATGCTCTGACAAACCCCAGTCATCTCAGAATCAGGATGTGACAGATGCAACAGATTTTGTTAAGAGCCCATGGGATAAGGTGCCTGCCAGGCCTGCCACATCTTCAAAGATATCGTGGTGTATTAGAAGAGTGCGCTCTACCACATTGCTGGGTTAGAACCCCAGTGCTGCCACTTAACTAGCTGTGGAGCCTGGAGCAAATCAAACCCACATCTCCATAAAATAAGGATGATAACGCCAGCCTTCAGGGTTGCTATGAGAGAAAAAATAAAAGTGTAAAATGTCTGGCACATAGTTCATACTTGGGAAAAATGGAAACTAATATTTTATTTAACTCTGATATGAAATAAAACACTCTTTCATGTTTATTTTATTCGTGAGAGAGCATATACACACACAAGAGAGAAAGAGAGAGAGAGAGACAGGCACTTGGGATCCCCTTCCCCTAGCCCTCCATGTTTATTTTATTCGTGAGAGAGCATATACACACACAAGAGAGAAAGAGAGAGAGAGAGACAGGCACTTGGGATCCCCTTCCCCTAGCCCTCCAGTTCACCAGGATCTTGAGCACACACACACCTGGAGTACTTTTGTGTTGAATTGGAAACCGAACCCACAGTCTGTCATGTGACTTCCAACACACAGTTCACTAGGCTTCTTCCTGTACCACCAAGGCTGGGCCTAAAACACACTTTTCTAGACAAATTGATACCTATATTCATCCCACAGTAATAAACAGTTTTCCTAAATGTGTACATATTCAGTCTAAATTACTATAGTGAAATTTGTTTTTATTTAAACCATTTACTGCCCCTCCTTAGAGAAGGATTATATATCCACCTCATGGAAGCCATGGGTCAACAAGTGGTCTGTAAATGGAAAGGATGAAGACGACTTCTAAATCCTAACTTGTTGTCTTCTCTTCAGAAGAGGGATAATGTCTTCAAGAAAGACTGTTCCTTCAACTTAAGGCCTTTAATGAAGTCAGTATGAATCCTATAGCGAACCCACGAAACATGCACTGTGGTAAACCTTTCTTGTAAGCATCTGAGGTTTAGGTTTAGTATTTTTTTTTAACCATGACATTAATTTGGCTAAGTTGACTGGTAACGGTCACCCATTCGTCAACTGGAACCATAGTTCTCCTTTGTAGTCTAGGAAATCTGTCATCAAATAGCTGACAGTTTACTGGGAGGGCTAAATGCTAAATGATATTAAAAGTATTAGTGTGAACTCTTCTCAAAGCCTCGTGTCAATTTTAAGCTCTATTAACTGAAATAGAAAAAAAAGTGTTTTGGTACTGAAAATTTGTAAAGGCAAAATCTGCTTCTGATACACAATTTTAACTCTCATTGTTTGCTCAGGCATTTTGTTTTTTACCTTCTCCAACCCTAACCTGGCCCTTAGAAAGTTCTTGTCAGTCTTACATTAAGCTATATGGAGTAATTAAAAAGTTTCCAATGACCAAAGCCAATATACTATGCATTGCCACATGTGCATCATGAACCTACTTCCAAATATCTGTAAGTGATTAATTCTTTTGTTTAATTGCCAGAGAGTACATGTGCTTACCAGAGAGAGTTGAGAGAGAGAGAGAGAAACTATCCCAAAATGGATCGCAGTTACTCCACAATCCCTCCTGCTCCATTTCCCCATCCTATTGAGATTTGGGACACACACACACACAGCAATCATGTTTCTCAAGTTACCTAGGCAAGGATTTGAACCAAGGTTGGCCATTTGGGATCTGGTTCCCCCAGTCACCAGGCCATGAGGGCAGCCCAAGTGTATAATTCTC